CTGCGAGGCATCGAGAGTGCGGCGGTGGCAGCCGCCAGCTGAGCCGACAGCGCCCCACTCGCCGCGGGGGGATGCTTCACGGGCTCACATGGTGTGGACTCGTGGGCACATAGCCCCCCCCCGGACTTCCGACGTGCTGCAAGAGAGATCTACCGCAGCATACGGAGTGCAGGCTCGACGTCGGTGCGTAACTGGCTGACCAGCAACCACACCGGCCCCAAGACGTCGGAGTCCTGGCAGCACCTGTGGGCGATGGCCACATCCATCGACTTCGCCGTGGGCGGCATCACGTCGGATGCAGACCTGTACCAGCGGCTGAACACTGACGACAACCTGGAGCTGGCGCTCCGACATCTGTCCGCACACGTGAATGGGCAGCGGACGAAGGACTTCGTCGGAGGGGCCAAGTTGAGAGCGGTGGCCGCGCCCGGCTGTAGATATAGCCCCTGGATGGCTGATTGGCGAAGCTACGTTGCACTCCAAAGTAGAGCATCAACGAGACGAACGAGTGCACGCTGAGCTACGCCGCCGAGGGAAAGGAGGACAGGACGCCGCCAATCCAAAGGGGAGCCCCAAGGGGGGTAACCCTGGGGGAGGCAAGCCACCCAAGGCCTGAGATGGCGGCGCCGGGGAGGGGCCTCGGCAGCCGTGGGCCTCTCCACGTCAACCTGACCTACGGCTGCGACTTCCAGGACGAGGAGTGCATCGCCACAGCGCCGCTGCGGCCGCACCTCGTCCCTGCTGCCTAGGGCCACCGCCCTCCAGACCCGCGCTGACTCGGCGGGGGGAGTTCCCGAAGCTGGAGGAAGTGGTCGAGGCTTTCGTGCACCGCACCTCTGCTGCCCGACCCACCCTCTTCTGCGGCGTCGTCGGGGCGGCTTCGGCAGCGGGCAGCTCGCAGGAGGGCAATCTGCAGGGTGGGGAACCAGATCATCGAAGGTATCAACAGGACCTATGCGGGTACCATGCGACGACCAGCTGGTGGTGGAGCTCGACGCGGGGATCGACGAGGAGATGGCTCCGCCACGGGACTGGCTCAGCTGCGCGCAGTACGGCTCGCGCAGGAGTCAGCTCACGTCCGCTGGCCTGAGGTGACTGGCGTACAGGCGTTGAGGGATCTCCTCAAGCTGGGCGAGGTCTCGTACACTGGTGCCAAGAGGGTGGCTGTGCATGTGCCGTTCGAGGCGGACCGCATCGACGAGGTGGTCACGCACAGGACGGTCTCCATGCTCGACGCCTTGCCAGAGGACGAGGCCTCCTTCTACCAGGGTGAGAACAACGTGATCGACTGGACTGGGAAGTCTGAGATACTGAAGGAAGAGCTGGAACAGCACTACGGCTTCTTCGGAGGCGGGCCTGCCGAGTGGGTCAAGTACCTACATTGCGGCGACCTGTCGTCAGGCCTTTGGGTCTACCTCACGCAGGATCAGGTCAAGGCCGTGAACGGCGTGAGCGCAGTGCGCAAGAAGGACCCGACCAAGCAGCGGAAATTGATCATGGCCGTCCCCGCCAACTACGCGTGGTGCGACGTCCAGGCCAGGGAGAACCACGGCCTGGGCGGCGGGGGCGCGCTGGGCATGCTGTGGGCTCCCGACGCGGCTCTGAGTGCTGCGAGATGCGACGAGTCCGACGCCTTCTCATCCATCATGACGCCTGAGTGGATGTGGCCACGGATGGGAACACCCCCGGTGGCAGCGGGGCAGATACGGACCTTGCTGCCCGACTCGCTGGCAGACGAGCCCGACGACGCGCCGACCTTCCCTTGCTACACGAGGCTCCCGATGGGCTCATCCCACTCGGTGCACATCATGTTGTCGATCAACGTGCGCGCGCTCGGCCGCTGCCTGGTGGACAGCGCGCGAGTGCTGAAGCAGCTGGAGACGCCCGCCGAGCCCCTGACCGACGAGGTGGACGTGCCCGACGTGAGTCCGTGGACCAATTTCGGTCGCTGAAGCAGCTCAGCTCGAGGGTGATGGTGGTCCTGCACGTTTTCGCGGGCCAGCGGCGCCAGGGCGACGTCCAGCAGTTCATTGAGCAGCTGTCCGACCAGCATGGCGTGAGTACCTTCGTTTTCAGCGCCGACCTCGCCTTCGACAAGGTGGGACTTCAGCGACCCGCGCACGGTCTCTCTGCTGCTGGGCCTCGTGAGCGAGGGCCTCATCGACGTCGTGCTGGGCGGGCCGCCGTGCGCGACCTGGAGCCGGGCGCGCTTCCGACCAGACGGGCCGCCGCCGCTGAGGTCGCGGTGGGAGCTGCTGGGCCTGGCAGGCCTGACGCCAGGGCAGCAGGCCAAACTGACGGAGGCCAACGTACTTCTGTTCAATTTCCTCGGGCTCTGTGAAACTGTTCTCGCGCAAGGGGGGCTTTTTAGTAGAGCATCCGCCGACCCCGGCTGTGCACCGTATCCCTCGATCTGGGTCCTGGATGGAGTCCTTGGGCTAGCTAGTGGGGCCGGAGTGTCAGTAGTCGAGTTAGACCAGTGTATGCTTGGGGGTGTGGCCCAGAAACCTAGAGGTCTCCTCTTCAACCTCCTCGGAATCTCTGGTGAATGCACCCTGAAATGTGAGGGACGACACGAACATGGACGGTCCTATGGTCGTACCTCAGGTGGTTCGTTTGCTACCCGCCGTTTACAGACGTACCCTCCAGATTTCTGTTGATTCGTGGCCCTGTGTGTCGTCAAGACTCTGGTGGCTATGGGCGAGGACGGCGGGGGCCCAGGGGGGTGGCGCAGAACAGCTTCACGGGGCGCGAGGACCACGAACTGGAGCACGCTGGTCGGTGGTCCCTTAGGCGGAGCGCTGTACCTCCTCAACGAGCTCTACTCGAAGGGCGGCCGCATCAGGCTGCGCGAGAAGGACGTGGCCTGCTATGTGCATCTGGACGACGGCGTGTGCATTTCAGCCCACGGGAGAAGCCAACGAACCACGAACCCGACCTGTGACGCGATCATGGTGCGGCTCGCCACGGCCTGGGAGGAGACGGGCTTCGTTGTCCCCGAAAGGGTGCCAGCCTCCGAGATGGCGAAGGTGGTCGGCTACAGCTTTTAGGTCGACCCGCCAGTGCTGGCCATCGATGCTTCGAAGGACGCCTTGCTGCAGGATGCCCTGGCTTGGCTGCTGGAGACCCCGTGGGTGGACGTGGAGCTGCTACGCGGCGTCGTCGGCGTGTGGGTCTGGGGCGCGCTGCTCAAGAGGGAGCTGCTGGCCGTCCCGTACGCCATCTTCCAGTTCATGGAGCGCTCCGAGGGCCGGGCGGCGCCGTGGTGGCCGTCGGCTCGTCGCGAGGCGAAGGTCATGCAGTGGCTGGTACCGACCATGAGAGCAGACCTCGGAGCGCCGGCTGCCCCCATCGTGTTCTCGTCGGACGCGGAGGGCGCCAACGCGGACGACTTCGGCGGGTGCGGGATCGTCGGCTGGGCCGTGGACCAGGAGCTGGCCGAGGACCTGATCCTGGCAGGGACGCGGCCTGGCCACACGGTGGCCCGCCTGGACGGCCGCGTCTCCCACCTGAACTGCCAGGACCGCGAGATGGGCTGCCGCATCCCAGTGTCCAAGGTACCGCGACGACTGCTCGAGGCGGACGTGGACACGTGGACCGCACTGGATGCTGGGAGATGGCAGCGCCCGGATCACATCACCCTGGGGGAGGGCAGGGCCGCGCTGACCGTGCTGACGCGGATGGCAGCCTGCCCAGACTCCCACGGCTTTTCCATAGCCGATTTGGAAGACAACGAGACCCTCTCGGCCGCCATGGCCGAGGGTCGCTCGGCTTCGCCTGCGCTCCACCAGCTCCTGAGGCGACGTGCTGGCCTGTGCGTGGCTGCTGGCATCGGCTACCTACTACCTCGCCATCGCTCGGACGTCCATTCCCTGTGCGTTTTTCGATTTCGTGCGTGGTTTTTTCGCCAAATGATCAAGGATGCTCCTCGATGGTCCTCGCCGAAGGAAAACTGCACACGTCCGAGCGATGCCAAGACTACAGTGGGTGGACACCAAACGCCAAGCAGCTGACTGGCTATCACGACTTCGAGGTCGCTGGTGACTCCTGCGGCTGGGTCGCGGCGGCTCGACCCACATCGCGCCGCAAAGGTTCAGCCGCAGACCCTCGACAACTACTGGGGTGCCGCCAAGTTACTCACCGATTGGGCGGCGCTGCGTGGATTGGATCCGCACGGAGCTGATCAGTGGGACGATATCCTAGTGGAGTCCAAGTGCGACAACGTGGGTCGCCTGACGCCCGCGACGTTCGGGCAGGTGGTCGCTGCTGTCGAGTTCTTTTTCCCGCGCTTCTGCGGCAAGCTCGCCTGGTCGCGCGCTGTCCTGCGCGGCTGGGAGACGGCCGAGCCACGACGCCACACGGTATTGCTGGGACGCGCTCTAAGCAAGTTACCGGCGCGCCATTTTGCATCTTGGGGCCACGGACGTCTAGGGTTGGGCCTAATACTACAGTGTTCAACCGGTATGCGTCCCTCCGAAATGTTGGACATCATGGTCGAGCATCTCCCCTTCCCTGACCATCGTGGATCTAGCTTGGCACAGGCTCCGTTAGTTATCGCTCTTGGAACGAAGAAAGGTACGAACACGAAGCGGCCTCAGGTAGTCATGCTCACACATAATGATGAAGCCCTAGTCAGGTTCCTAGCAAGAGTTGCTGCTCACACCCCGCCTGGCCACTACCTATTCCCGTACTCCCTCGCCCGCTACCGTGCCCTGCTCAAGCAAGCCGAGCAGGCTCTGGGGTTTGCGTGGGTTGGGGCCAGCATGGCCCGCGTGCTGGCTGGGCGACCTCCGCTCGCGCTGGAGGGGTGAATTTCACCGAGCTCCGAGAGGGCGGCAGGTGGGTGAGCGACAGCAGCCTCCGTGTCTACCTGGACGTGCTGGGGGCCAACTCCGTGCTGCAGCAGCTGCAGCAGACGGGCTTGGAACCGCAGCTTCGCTACGTGAGCAGCAGCTGGCCGATCTACTTCTACCAGACCTGTGGAGCCCTGGACGGCGGGCATGGCGCCGAAGGGCTGCAAGACGGTCGAGGGCGGATGGCCGAGGCCGCCCGAGAGCAGAGTGTCCTCGCCCGCGCCCACCGAGCGCTCGGGTGGGGCGAGCTCTTGGGATAAGCTGTCCCTGGCCTCAGGCCTGTCGGCGGGCTCGCCGCCCTTCCTCGCGCCGACGAGTCAGCTGGGTGGCCTGGGCCTGCTGCCGCTGCCAGCCCCAGAGACGCAGGAGCTGATGCAGCGGCTGGCGCTGGATGCCCAGCAGCGCCAGGCAGTCGCTGCAGCTGGGCCCGCGCCGACCGCCAAGGCGAAAAGGGCGACTGGACGGTGGGGCGCGGGGCTGAGGGCTGCGACGAGGTGCTGCTTCGGCCGACGCTGGGGTGTCCTCTCGCAGTGCGCGCTGCTGCTGCTCGCGGTGACGCTGGTGCCAGCCTGGCTGGCGGCATCGCTATCTCGGAGCGTGGGCGCCGTGGTGACGCTGTCCAAGGACCTGGCAGACGCCACGGGTGCCACCGCGCAGGTGGCCAAGAATGAACGCTGCTGATCTCCGACGCCGCGGTGGCGCTGACCAAGGGCACGATCTCCGTGGTGCATGAGGCGTGGACGGGCGTGGACCTAGCCGACACAGTGGTGAACGCCTCTGGAGCTCGCTTCATCATCGTCCGAAGCGCCTCGCGGAAGGAGTTTGAGGAGAGCGAGCTGGCCGCCATGCTGCACCCGCTGCCACCTGAATACCGTCAGTGGCTATGGACGGTAGTCAGCACGGTGGGGTCCAGGGCCCCACGCGTGGCCGCCAGCGAGTGCCAGTTCAAGACAGCCAGCTACTTTGACTTCTTCGAATTCGAGGCGGTGTCCTTCGAGAACGGCGTTGTCGGTGTGCGCTTCATGTGGACCCGAATGGTCTTCAAGGCCGTGTGGTCCAACCCGGTGTGGGAGTTGCTCGGCATTGACGTAAGCTCCGAGCTGTCTCCCATCGCCTCCCGCACGCGTGACATGCTCGCGGGCGCGCTGGACCTGGAATGGTTGCGAGCCCCACTCACTGAAAACGAGGACGTAGTGCGTATGGCGCCTCCTTTGTGGTATCGCTGGCTCCAGTGGGGTCGGCGCCACACGGATTGGCTACAGATCGCAAGCGGGTTTCGGGATGAGGGGCCCTTTTTCTTTCGGCTTTGACGGAGTGGCTGCAGTGGGGCATCAGTCTGTCTTTCCTGGATCACAAGTGGGATTCGGATGATGAGTATCTTCACCGTCGGTCTTTTGTTTCAGCACGAGTTTCTTTTTGCACGAGTGGTGTGTACTACTCGTGAGTTGGTTCGGCCGATGGCCGAGGAGAAGCTGCAAGGTGAATACTGCATCAAGTCGTTGCAAAACAAACTGCCTACGAGGGCTTCCGCCTCTCCGTCTGCTTGGGTGGGTCTGCGCGGGCACATAGATCCCTGTCATGTATTGGGACATTATGAATGAATGGATTTGAGAATGGAGATCCATGTGTGTAAGCTTCCGCTTCCGTTCCATAGTTGCTTCTGCCCCCCCCCAATGCTTAAATGATTGAAGCTAGCCGTGTCGTTCAAACATTGAAGCTTCCCGCCCTAGTTCCGCGACAAGCGTTGTGCAGTGCCCAGTTGCATCCAGGTGCCCGGTCCAGCCCCTCTAGTCCCGACGGACGATGAGCATCTTCACCGTCGGTGTTTTGTTTCAGCACGAGTTTCCTTTTTCGGCCGATGGCCGAGGAGAAGCTTCAAGGTGGATACTGTATCAGGTCGTTGCAAAACAAATTGCCCACGCGGGCTTCCGCCTCTCCGTCTGCTTAGGTGGGTCTGGGCAAGCACATGGATCCCGGTGACGTATTGGGACATTATGTATGTATGTGTATGTACATGTATGTATATGTGTGTACATGTATGTATGTGCATGTCTGTCTGTCTGTCTGTCTGTCTGCATGCATGCATGCATGCACGCATGTATGTATGTATGTATGCATGTATGCATGCACGCATGCATGCATGTCTGTCTGTCTGTATGTATGTATGTATGTATGTATGTATGTATGTGTATGTGTATGTGTATATATGTATGTCTGTATGTATGTATGTATGTATGTATGCATCGATGCGTGTATGTATGTATGTATGCATGCATGCATGCATGTATGTGTATATGTATATGTACATGTATATGCATATGTATATGTGTATGTATATGTATATGTATATGTATACGTATATGTATGTATGTATGTATGTATGTACGTATGCATGTTCCTATACATGTATATATGTATGCATGCATGCATGCATGCATGTATATATGCATGTCTGTTTGTATAATATGTATGTATACATAATATATATATATATATATATATATATATATGCATATATATATGTTGTATGCATGGTTGTACAAATGTGTACATGCATGCATGTATGCATGCTTGCATGCGTGTATGTATATATATATGCACGCATGTATGTAGGTAGATATGTAGGTATGTATACAGGTACGTATGTATGTATGCATGCATGCATGCATGTATATATATATATATGTACGTATGTGTGTTTGTGTGCTTTCATGTGTGTATGTGTGTGTTTGTATGAGTACGCGTGCTCAGGTTCTAGCCCAGGCAAGGGGGGTGGGGGTGGCGTTGGGAGATCTTGGACAGCACTGCCAAGCACAAGCGCGTGACATAGCCGTGCCTCCTGAAGGCTTTCTGAGGACCTCTTGGGTCTTCGTGGGGGCATCTGAAGGGCTTCTGGGAGGTTATCCTCGCTTCCTCAGTTGGCTGTTTGAGGCACCTCTTGGGTGCTTCTTGGTGGGTCGTCTTGGGGCCCCTTGGGAGCATCGTAGGGGTTCTCCGGGCAATCGGAAGGTGAGGTTCTGCAATCTGTTGCCGTTTTGGCTACGTGGAGGCCTGACTTGAGGCCACCTGGGGCCACGTTGAGGCAATCTGGAAGCCTCTCGGGGGCCTCCTGGAGGCAGTTTTGATGCATCGAGGGCACTGTTGGGCTATCTTCAGGCCCTTTGTGCGTCTCCTGGGGGCCTTTGGGGGCCTCTTGGGAGGCTTTTGGGGGCCTCGTCGGACCATTTGGGGACTCCTGGGGCCTTCTGTGGGCCTCTCAGGGCGGAAGGCATTGCTGTTGGGTTCGCGATCTCCTTCTTGGGCCTCTCTTGGGACCGTCTTGTGGCCCTCTCGGGCCGTCTTGGGCGCCTCAGGCACCGTCTTGGGGCCCTCGTGGGCCGTCCTGGGGCTCCTTGGAGGCCTCATCTGCTATCTTGGAGCGGTCTTGGGGGCCTCTTTTGCCGTCCTGGAGCGTTGGGATGCCTAAATGCTGAACACGCTACAATGCGTCAACAACCGATGGGAAAGCAATGAGTTGTGCCTCTTCGGCCCTTCTTGGGAGGCCTCTTGGACACCTTTCGGCCCTCTGGGGAGCTTCTTGAGGGCCTCTTGGATCATAGTTGGGGCCTCTTGGGGTTTCCTGAAAGCCTCTCGGGGTGGACGGCTTGGATTTTCGGTTCGTTTTGCCCCTCTGAGGCCCCTCTTAGGACCGTCTTGGTGCTGTCTCGGGCCGTCTTGGGCGCCTCAGGCACCGTCTTGGGGCCCTCGTGGGCTGTCTTGGGGCCCTGTTGGAGGCCTCTTGGGCTATCTTGGAGCGGTCTTGGAGGCCTCTTGGGCCGTCTTGGAGCGTTGGGGAGCCCGAAGACTGAAATCTCGAGCATCTATCACAACCGATGGCAAGACTATGATGTTTGCCTCTTGGGGCCTCCGTGGGAGGCCTCTTGGAACTTCTGCGGCCCCCCGGGGAGCGTCTTGGGGCCTCTCGGGGCCTGTTGGGGACTTCTCGGGGTCTCTTGAGAGCCTCTCGGGGTGGAAGGCTCGGCTTCTCGGTTCGTGTGACCTCCCTTGGCCCCCTCTTTGGGCCGTCATGGGGCTGTCTCGGGCCGTCTTGTGGCCGCCTTCGAGGCCTCTGGGGCTGTCTTGGAACGGTCATTGGGGCCTCTTCGCCGTCGTGGAGCATCGGGAAACTGAATAGGCGTGAACTCGAAAATTAATAAAACAACCACACGAACATCAATGATTTTTACCTCCCGGGGCTCCTTGGGAAGCATCTTGGAGGCCTTGTGGGGCATCTTCTAAGACTCTTGGGCAGTCAAGGGCTGCTTTTGGGGCAATCTCGGGCCGTCATTGCTCGTTTTCGCGGTCTGGAACGCCATTTCTGAGGGCCTCTGGCCAGCTTCGTGGAGGCCTTTAGGGACCTCCAGGGAGCTTCTCGAGGTGGAAGCTCGGATTGTCCGTTCGGGTTACCCCTTCTGTCTTGGACGCCTCGGGCGCCGTGTCGGGGCCCTCTTGGGCAATCTTGGGGCTCTCTTGGAGGCCTCTTGGGCTGTGTTGGAGGCCGTCGTGGTGCGTAGGGAGACTGAAACGGCGAGAGCTCGAACATCCTTTCAACACCGACGGAAAATCAATGAATTGTGCCTCTTCGGGCCCTCTTGGGAGGCCTCTTGGGGCGCTGGGCCCTCTTAAGCCGTCTTCTACGACCCTCCCGGCACTTCTGGGTTCGAATTCCCCTTCTCGGGCCTCTCTTGGAGCCGTCTTGGGGCCTTCTCGGGCCGTCTTGGGCGTCTCAGGGCGCTGTTTCGGGGGGGCCGTCTTGGGGTCCTCTTGGAAGCCTTTTGGGTTGTGTTGGAGCGGTCTTGGGGGCCTCTTGGACTGTCTTGGAGTGTCGGGAAACTGAAAAGGCGAAACCTCGAAAATACTTCGAACACCAAGGACAATTTGCGATTTGTGCCTCTTCGGGCGCTCTTGGCAAGCCTCTTGGAGGCCTCTTGGGGCCTATGGGGGGCCTCTTGGGGCCTCTTGGGCCCTCCGGGGAGCCTCTCGAGGTGGAAGCTCGGACTGTCGGTTTCGGTTGCCCCTCCTGTGCCTTCTCGGGGCCGTCTTGGAACGCTCTTGGGCCGTCTTGGACGCCTCGGGCGCAGTGTCGGGGCCCTCTTGGGCTGTCTTGGGGCCCTCTTGGAGGCCTCTTGGGTTGTGTTGGAGCGGACGTTTGGACCTCTTGGGCCGTCGTGGAGCGTCGGGACACTGGAAAGGCGAGAACTCGAACATCCTGCAAAAACCAATGGAACATCAATGGGAGGCCTCTTGGAAGTCTCTTGAGGCGTCGGGGAGGCCTCTGGAAGAATCTGGGGCTAAATCTGGAACCTCTTGGGACCATCTTGGACGTTTTGGGGCCCTCTGGGCCTGTCTTGGAGCGCTCTTGGGGCAATCTGGGGTCGTTTTGGGCGCTCCAGCGGCCCCCGGTCCCCCCATGTGGGCTCGAGGCACCTGTTTAGGGGCGGCGGGCCTGCCCTCCAGGTGTGTGTGTGTGTGTGTGTGTATGTGTGTATGTATATATAGATATATGTACACACGTGTATACATATAGATATGTATGTACGTATGTACGCATGCATGTACATATTTGTACATATACGTACGTAGATATGTGTACATACATGCATGCATGTATGTATGCATGCATGCATGTATGTATGTATGCATGCATGCATGCACGCATGTATGTATGTGTGTGCAGGCGGGGGTTAGAGCGGTAGCTCATCGGGAATAAAGAGGAGCCACAACATGCGATGATCACTCACTCTGGGCGTTGCCCCGTTGGCCAAAGCTGTTGACAGAGCCTCGAGTGCTTCGAAACAACGGCACCAGCATGTGCGAGCCACAGGGCCCACCCCGAGGCCACGGCAGAATTCACACCACGAGTGTACCACCGTCGTCCAACGACCGGGGTCATAACGCCGTCCCAAGAGGGCCTCGAGGGGGAGCAGACTCGCACCGCGCTGTGCCCAGAAACCCGAGAAGAAGCTCTCGCGAGACGATGAACGGGCAAGAGCGGCCAGGCAAAGAAGGAAGAAGGGGCCTGGACGGCATGGCACAGGGCGGATTGCGGGCGGGCCACAAAGGCTGCCATGCATTCTGATGCGGCCAACGTTCGCTCATTACCCCTCCGCCCACACATTGACCGTAAACGTGTTCATGTGTGTGTAGGCGGGGGTTAGAGCGGTAGCTCATCGGGGATAAAGGGGAGCCACAACATGCGATGATCACTCACTCTGGGCGTTGCCCCTTCTTGCTCCCTCTACTCGTTGGCCGAAGCTGTTGACAGAGCCTC